CTGGGTCACGCATGTAAACACTGGTTGTCTCAAAATGAGAATCAGAACAGAAGCCAAGTCACTCAGGAGTAAGCAACAAACCAGTTGTTTTCTTGGGGGCACACACCACCCAGAAAGTTGCTGAAAGCGCTCTGACAGTCCAAGATCGATTTTCTGATTCGTGCGGCCCATCAAATAGGCCCAGTCCCAGAGTTTCCGTTGACATTATGTCCTATTTGAACCCAATTTGAACTGATTAAAACAAATACACTGATTCGGTATTGACGGGAGACTCAAATGAATCTCTTGTTTAAATGGGGAAGGTGTGTAACGGTGGACACTACTAATGGGAGCATGTGAGTAGTATGTGTTCCCTTAAATCCGCTTCGCGTCTCTTGCGTCTCTTACGGAATTTGTGGAATTGGATTTGAGCAACAGTCAATCAATATCCAGGAAAGTTCAGGAAGACGCGTCCAAGGAGAAGATGGATATTCAGTTTTTGTAGACAAGATGCATATGAGAGTTTTGCTTCCCTGTCCAATAGTCTGTAACTGTTCAGTTGACATTTTCTAATAAATAACTCCACAGCGAAGGCCTTCTTCCTTTCACCTTCCCACCTTTAACTAAATGCGCTGCACAAAGGCCACCCCATGTTCCAGCTGGTACGAAATTCGAGGTATTGGAGTATATTTTCACAGGGAACAAAGTCCATAAGTTTGCTGAAAACTCTTCGACAGCCCTTGATCGACATTCAGCCTCTTGGGCCTGATTAGATGGGTGCAGTCTCAAGGTTTCTTTCACCATTATCTTAACTTTAGTTTAATTTGCCAGCACGGATAAGAAGCCTTCAATTGAAACAAAGTTGTATCACTCAAACAGAATATCAAACCGGCTCAAAATTATGGGCCGACCAGAACTGAAAGTTTTGATGTCTAGTTCGCTGAAACATCGATATGGAAGTCGTCGATTGATCGAATTGCCTACCGTAATAAATCATAACTTTGGCTTCTCGAATGCGGAGTGGTGAGGTTTGAACAGACTCGAGCAACAAATAAAACAGATTGGCGCGGAGTTTAGAAACACAACGACTACGAAAAATGCTACTCTAGACAATCAACTGGTTGTTTCAGTCGCTATTGATCTGTTCGCCGAGCTTGACTGATCCGATGTGCAAAGTTATATTCGACCTCCTCATCATCAGCATCATCGACAACATGACATCAGTGTTCAACACCGATGCTTCACTGCACTGCCACCATGAGTTATTTGAAAGCCTTATTCTAAAGAAAGGAGTAAAGGTGGACGGGAAAGGACTTAGTGCTAGTTTAACACAATCATTCAGAGGTACCTATACCTCCAGGAACTCACTCAGGGGATCTGCATAGAAACTGACAACAAGAACGCCACTCACATCGGTCGAAACCCGATATCTTCAACAAGGCGCAGTGGGGATCACACGGTCTCAATCCTGGAAGGCGAGTAGCACCGATAGTCCCCAAGCGTTTCGTGATCTCCTTCATACTCATCTGCCAAGGCAAGGTTGGCCACCTCTCTGTTTACGCCACTCTGATTCGGCATACGTAACACATGTCCCAACCAACGCAGCTTCTGGTGCTGGACACACTCTTCAATGGAAGTACCCGTTGCACAACCGAAAACGCGCTTTCTAGCTGCCTCGTTACGAATTCGCCGACACCAACCGACGCGAGCTATGGTTCTGAGACAACGATTCTTGAACACCTGAAGACGTCTCAGTTCCGCTGCTCGAGTAGACCAAGTCTCACATCCATACAATAAAACATCTCGCACTGTAGCTTGATACACACGTTCCTTCAGATTCAGGGATAAATCATTCTGACGCCATAGGTGTCTCAAGTTAGCAAACGCCGCCCGAGCCTTGCAGATTCGTGCATTCACCTCATCTGTCACATTACAGTCAGAACCAATACAACCTCCAAGATACGTAAAATGCACCACAGCTTTCAGTACCTCTCCCTGGATCGTAAGTGGCGTGTTCAGTGACTGCACGTCCACAAGCATGACTTTACACTTTGTGGGTGCAAAGTGCTTACGAAAGGACGGGATGACTTCGGTCAGTTCATCCAAGAATACTTGCGCCTTTTCCTCCTCTTCGATGTCTGCGTACTCCAGATCGACCAGGTTTTCGATCTATTTGGACGCAAGTAATTCTCACGGGCATGACTATCTTTTCACGCTGAGCTATACGGGTCCCCTGACAACCAAGCTCTTGGATCGCTACCTTAGTTTTTCTCCTGTGTGCCGATCCTTAACAGAGTATAAAATAGCCGTAGTGATTGAAAGAAAGACAGATGGTAACCCTTTTTGCAGGCGCATCAGTAACCAAAGGGCTCCAGTTTCACACCTGTATTCTCAAATTCAAACATCAACGGTATTAGTGACGATGACGGGGGGGGGGGGCTGGGATGGAGGCATTTGTGTGGTTAAACAAGGCATCCCCAAACACCGTCTAACGAGACTACTTCTGTTCTGTTTGCCTCTTTCAGTAGGGTGCAAATTGCCAGATGGACAATGTGTGTGACTTGGCAAGGTGTGTGTGTGTGAGTTTGAGTGCTGTTGACGTGGTCCTTTTTTCCCCCCGTGCTTGGCTGGAGACATTGAGAGCAATGGCGGCTAATCAATTTCAGTGGTGTTCATGCTTGTGACGATGACGGGGGACTGGGATCACGGAGGCATTTGTGTGGTTAAACAAGGCATCCCCAAACACCGTCTAACGAGACTACTTCTGTTCTGTTTGCCTCTTTCAGTAGGGTGCAAATTGCCAGATGGACAATGTGTGTGACTTGGCAAGGTGTGTGTGTGTGAGTTTGAGTGCTGTTGACGTGGTCCTTTTTTCCCCCCGTGCTTGGCTGGAGACATTGAGAGCAATGGCGGCTAATCAATTTCAGTGGTGTTCATGCTTGTCACCAGTTTGCCTTAATGAGTGTTGCAGATTTAGGCACTCCGAAGGTTTTTTGTAGACCTGACCTAGGTCCTGCCCCATTTCGTTCACGGAGCTTCACTGGAATACGGTGGGATGGTTGAAAAGTACTGATGCACCAGGTTCCCCATTCAGAGGTTCCCCATCCGAGACCAACAATGATCCTATCACAAGCCGAATAAGTTACAAAACACGAAAGGTTACACAGGTGTCTTTTAAACAAAAGGCTGTCAATAGATTCCGACAAATGTTCCCATTTGAACGCAAGGTTGACTTTGACAGGAGACCTATCTGAATCCAGTTGAATCTCTTGTTTAAGACGTTTCGCTTGAGTATGGATTCAATTGGAGCACAAGTTGAGGTTAACGGGGAGAAAACTCTGGGACTGCCGGATGGGCCCCAAGAAGAGTGAAGCTAGTCGTGGGCTGTTAAACCGATTTTCAGAAACTGTGTTACGTCTCAACAGCTATCAATACACATGTAATACAATGCTACTTATAAGGTTGCTGAAAACTCTGACAGCGAGCCGGCAAAAGTTGCCCTGTCTTATCAGGTGGGCTGAAAACTTTTTGGGAACGGTGTAGAAACATGAACACCGCTTCTGTAGGGAACAGAAAAACGGGACTACAGGAATGCTACCCTCACCACCTGGATAATACAATGCTATAAGGTTGCTGAAAACTCTGACAGCGAGCCGGCAAAAGTTGCCCTGTCTTATCAGGTGGGCTGAAAACTTTTTGGGAACGGTGTAGAAACATGAACACCGCTTCTGTAGGGAACAGAAAAACGGGACTACAGGAATGCTACCCTCACCACCTGGATTAGATAAACTTCCACTAAAATCAGCCATCATTGTCAATCCTCGTTACCATAACGACCATACCAGTGTCTTGGAGATTCACGTGACCTGTTGCATACGATACGACCTGTCTTTTACCTACCAGGTACCTGTTTATTTACATGCCTTGTAGCTCAGCTTATGTTACAAAACGGACCCTTTCTCCCTCCCTCTTTATTCATATATTCATACGTATTACACGGATTAGAAAGGAATCCAAAATGCCAGAAAGTAATCAACACAGACGCTGGATACCAAAGGGTCATCTGGGAATACACAATCATCGGTCAGGGAATATTTTTTCCGAAATCCCGGCTTTACTTACCAACTCGAAAGCCAAATAGATTCACTCAGCTGTTCCAGCCTGCCTGGAAGGCTCATCGGTCACGCAAAAAAAACCTCAAAGCTTCGAGAGGATTTGAGCACTTCCTTCATTATCCAACGACCTTGGGGGAGCAACTCATGGCTTGTGACCTGCCAAGTCGGTATTATACAGCTTCTGCTGTACAATACAGATGAAGCCTCAGTAAAGATCTCCGAGAATCACTCTTCAGGCATGTGTGTTCCAGCAACTGAGCCGTTTGAACATTAAAAAACGAACGCACTACTGAAATAGTTGAACCAGTTGCGCAAAACAAACTACGATCGAGTCTTTTTTGTATGAAGTTTTCCAGATAACTGGATAGCCAACTGCTCATTTAATGGGAGTTGTACTTTTAACGAAATTTAGTCCTGTACGCTCAACTTCGTTTTCGGGTTTTTGTCACCTTTCATGATTGTATCGAAAAGCGGTCGATATAAGATCTTGACGGGACACTACTCATTTAGTTTCTGAAGACGTTTCGATTACCCACGACCGTGTTCACTCTTCTTGGGGCCTATCAAGTGTGCGCAGTCCCTGAACTTCCCTCCAATCAACGGTAGGTTCTACTCGAACCCAAACTGTGTGAAATTCGCGAGATGCACTCACTCTTCTATTTACTGTTGGTAAGAACTATCTGATGAATTCGACTCGATAAGGAAAGTGTCATTGTTGATAGAATCGTTCCATAATCTCCACACAAGGCCGAGATTGAATAGTCACTTCAGTCAGAATTCAGGCATACTTTGTGCAAGGCGATTGCTTCAAAAAAAGTAACAGGTTCATTGGAGGTATATATATATATTTATATATATATATATATATGAATTTCAACACCAGGTGAATACCGAGTGCGTTTGAAAAACGTGGACATCATTGTTTCCTGAGACGTACAAACCTGACGAAACTCCAGGGAGTCTTGGAACACCGATTTCCCGGCTAGCAAGCTGAACACTCAGTCGTTGGGCCAATCGAGTGGCTGTTTAGCAGTTTGACTGACTCGTCATGGGATCCACATCAGGTGGTCACGTGTGGACCAGCTACTCGTGGCCAGATGGATAAGGGTTCAAACTGCTAGTCGGGAGATTTCCTCGATTTTGTAAGACGCGCACTGCTGATGAGTTTGAATAAGGAAGAAACAGGTGCACATCGTTTCCTGCCTTCACATATAGGATGAAATCTTTTTTGAAGATCTGCAAATCTACCCAAAATACCAACAACATTTATTGCAGAACAAAGCTGGCGGATCTTTTTTGGGTTGCGCCTACCTGGCAAGCCCCAAAAATAGCAGTCGTGGGCTGATAAGACTTTTCAGCAACTTTGCGAGTAGTATATTACGTTTACACAAGGTTTCATGATTTCTTGATTATTGCGCCGACCGAAACATGAGACGGCCTGGTGCAGCACATTCAATTAATAACGAAAATCAGCTGAGTTTTAGCTGAGTATCCCGTCAAGGCCAAACTGGTACGCAAATGAATGTATACGTCGAAAGTATATTGCCCTCATAGCAGTTGATCAGACGCGTAGGTCCAACTCAACGGCATGCATGAATTTCTCAGCTGGTTTCTCGACCAGTCCAGCTGACTGGGCCGGTTCTCATTTCCTTGTCATCACCATTCAAAGTTTGGCGCAAAGACTCGTGATTCTTCCGGCACAGAAATCACGCAACTGGAGCTACTTTGAGGTTAGGGGGCGAGATGGTTCAAGTGGTTAGAGCGCGAATTTACTGACCGGAAGGTCCGTGGTTCGAACCCGACCTCTGCCTCTCGACTTCCCCTGTCTAGGCGTGGGCAACCTGACAGTATCTTTCTTCTTTCTGATAGCATGGCAGCTAAGCACCGGGTGTTCCAGCTGAACAATTTTTTTTGGAGTTAGCTGGTTAGCTCCAAGCATCTTGGTAAAGTACATCATCTCTAACTTTGCTCACGGCGACATCACAAGATTTCTGTCAAGGAGACTCCGAATTCCGGGTGAAACAACGTTCAATGAAATACCAAAAGATCCCACTATACCGTCATTAATTTATTCTGAAAGTCAAATTCAAAGGATTGAGATGTTCTATTGCTATCAATCTATACTGAAGGCAAAAATCACGCCAACTAAGACAAACTTGCATCTATTACGGTAGAAGAGCTGGGCTATCTCGCGAGAAATGTTTTCGTACAAAACACTACGGTATTCAAGCATCCAAAATACACGTACACTACAATAATGACTGTTAAAACTAATTGACGCGCATACCGAAATAGTTGAGTGCTTAGACTGAGCCAATGAGTGAACGCGACGAAGAAAAAATCGATTGGTTGGAGAACGATCCCATAATGGCGTCAGCTCAGATGAGGTTGTGTTTCATCTTAACTCGCTGCTTGCCACAACGTATCAAAACATTTCAGCTAAGGGCAAAATCGAGGGGGATAACAACAAGTGTTTAAAACCTTGTGGAAAATTCAGGTTGAACTGCAAAAAACCACTATCATTAGTGGCAGGAAGGAGGCTTTTGGATAAGGAACAAGCTTTTGGACAAGAAACCATTGTTTGGAGAAAAAACAAGCGTTTTGGAAAGGGAAAAGCGCTCATCATCATCATCATCGACAGCATGACATCAGTGTTCAACACCGATGCTTCACTGCCGTACAACCATGACTTGTTTGAAAGCCTTATTGTAAAGAAAAGAATAAAGGTGGATGGGGGAGAGGATTTAATGCCAGCTTACCAGATCATTCCGAGCTGCCTACACATCCAGACATTCACCTAGGCGACTGGATAGAAACTGACAACAAGAACGTCACTGTCATCGGTTGACATCCATGTCTTGTAGTCTCTCCAACCAGGCACAGTGAGGATCACGCGGTCCCCATCCTGGAAGGCGGGTAGCATCGACAGCATCAAAGCGTTTCGCGATCTCATTCATACTCCTCTGCCAAGTCAAGTGTTGGCCACGTCTCTGTTTACGCCACTCTTACTTGGGAAGGGAAAACAGCAATATCTCCGGCAGAAGATGGCTAGGCATACGCAACACATGTCCCAACCAACGCAGCTTCTGGTGCTGGACACACTCTTCAATGGAAGTACCCGTTGCACAACCGAAAACGTGCTTTCTAACTGCCTCGCTACGGATTCACCGACACCAACCCACACGAGCTATGGTTCTGAGACAACGATTGTCGAACACCTGAAGACGTGTCAGTTTCGCCGCTCGAATAGGCCAAGTCTCACAGTCATACAACAAAACAGCCCGTACTGTAGCTTGATACACACGTCCCTTGAGATTCAGGGATAACCCATTCTGACGCCATAGGTGTCTCAAATTAGCCAACTCGACTCGAGCCTTGCAGATTCGTGCATTCACCTGATCTGTCACACTACAGTCAGAACTAATACAACTTCCAAGATACGTAAAATGCTCCACAGCTTTCAGTATCTCTCCCTGGATTGTAAGTGGCGTGTTCAGTGACTGCACACGAAAGTAACAACCTCGTATGTATGAACTTGTGGAACGGTCACCATCTCAAATCGTCCTGTTCAACTTTCGTGGACCTAATTTGAATAATTTATAATAAGGAAGGTTGTAACAAGTGCCCCACAATCCTTCCATCAGGTGCAACGATGGCGCTTTACCACTTGACCAAACACTACTCGTACGGATCATCAGTAGTATACACCGTTACACCAGCATGAACAGTGAATTAACCGTCGGTCAATGAAATATTTTACTTGGAATAACACCAGCCATTTAAAGGGTAATGACAAAGAACTCACCACTGCTTTTCAATTTGTTCAAATGCTCAATACTCCCGTGGGGAAATATGATCCAATAATCTGTAAGAGTGTTTTAAAAAACTTCGTAGACAGTACCATCAAAAATCGGTCTTGAACATACTACTTTTTGGGTGTTATGACGTGTGGATTGCTGAAACCCTCTTTAATCCTGTCTTCCTATGAGTTTACAGAAGCTCGGGTATAAGTTTGCTCGTTTATGCTTGGAAGTCTCATCTGGAAAGATAAAATACCTAGTCCAACATTTGAATGGGTTTCCAGTCGTTCTGTGCGGTACCCGGCGGTTTATGACTGGATCGAATTGCAAAGCTAGGCGCAAATAGCTCGACTGAATGCTTTCAAACGCAGGTCGAGGGGTTACTGACAACAGGTTTGCGCACACTGATCCTCAACTGGCTCAGAGCCAAGTGGGTCAGGGGATGCTACAGGTATATAGCACATCACATCTGTGAGTTTCAGGTAAACGCAACGACTACCAAGCTGGTTGCCATCGCGTAACAAAATCGATTTCGTAACACAGAAAATGCACACAAATAAAACCGTAAAAAGCTTGCCAAAAATTGCAATAAAATACGCGGGAAAGACCTCTGATTTCCGACAGAATCGTCAAAACACAGCCGAATAACCGATTCGAGCGAGAAAAATAAATTTAGCACAACACATGCGTCGATCTTGGCCGCTCAAAAATTCTTGCGAAAGTCTAGACAAACTACTGATTTTTACTGAAAGGATTCACACGTCCTCATAGTTGGTTGGACCTTAAAGCGAAAGTCTACAAACGCATGCTCATCTCCGTGGGTATTTTTCTCGAGCGCTCAACACACGTCAGATCAGCTGTTTCTAGTTTCCCGTATGGCGGCAAATGAGAGCTGCGCAGTGAAGTCTGTAGCTATGATACAGGACCACCATTGTCTGCGTGACTCCCGTTTCCCTCAGGGCTAGGAATTACGCATTTGTTCTTTTTACCGCGGTTACCATCTGGAGAGACAGCAGCTACTAGCGTGATCACGTGACCTGGTAAGGAATTTCATTCCACTTAGTTTGGCATGACCATAGGATCCGGTGTTCCAACCCAACTCCAGACACCCCGACTGCTCCTGTCTTGGCATGAGCATCTTGAGAGAATGGCAGCCCTCGTGCATTCTTGGCAGCTGGTTACTACACCCAAGAGAAGGTGTCTCCAAATGTCTGAGGCGATATCCCTCGTAAGTAGTACAGTTCACCTAACGCCTGAAGAAAGTGCCTGACGGAGTGGAACAAAGTGTACAATAGGCATGCAGCGTATGCTCATTAGATGTATAGTCACACCTAATTTATTTGTGAAACCGGACTCGAACTTACCGCGGTATCCTTGCATCCAGTAACCGTGGGAGAGGTCCGTGAAATAGGCGATGCTGTAGAACGTTGCCAGGACGACAGACAAGGTCAAGGACATCGAGGCGCTCATTAATATTCCGATAAAGTAACTGGAAAGAAAAGGGAATTGAAAAAGCCATGACAAGGGATCACGTTCTATAGGCAACTTTACTCCCAAAAACGTACAGACACGATAGTCCAAGCGTAAAGTACTACTTACAACGTTACTTACACGACAGTGGATCACCATACAAGAGAGATTCATATGAAAATGAGAATATTTGCCAAAATCTGTTCATTTTCAATCTGAGGTTTACAAAAACTTAGGGAATGCGCCGACCTGATGAGCCCCACGGAACCGGTCTTGGCTTGTCAAAGAGTCTTCAACAACTTTACAAGTAGTATGTTACGTCTGGATGCCAAAGCAGTTCGATAAATCGGATATCGAACTAAACAGCATCAGCGATCTTTTGTGATTCGTAACCCGAGTACGGATTAATTCACCACAACCAACTCTGTAATCATATTCATAATTAATTTGTTATTGAAAGACTTCCGGATGGTTGTTTCACCAATCCTAACCGCCCTGATTAAAGATGTATACTGTACTGCACAGAATAAAATATTGATTAATTAGTATGTTCATTAAGTTCTTCACACACGGAAAGTGTGTTATAGCTGAATACTGCTTGTGTAACGCTGGATGCTACGGATGAGGTAGGTTAGTAGTATGTGGTTTTCTCGTAACTCCGATTTGGTCTTGTTGTATCTGCTGATTCGTCAATTTGTAGTATCTGCTGCTAACCTGCTTCAGTGCATAGTGTCGGAGAAAAAGACTCACAGAAGGGAAGACAACAGCTATATTCCGAACAAGCGAGTGCAAAAGTTACAACGGCTCCACGCTATTTAAAGGGGACTTTCTGACATTGATCCAGGCTGTCTGATAGGCGTCAGTGAACACCCGTCAACATCGATCGTGCCTCTATGAGATGCCTGAATGCTGTTCACATTCGGTCGTGCTTCCGTGGCGTGCATGAACACTCATCAGCTTTTGCTGAATTGATTGAATGATTGACTGGCCTGGATGCTTGCCGGATTTCCTGTTGAGATTTTGGTGGAACCGTAGGTTCCGGGCGTTCTCAGGTTACTTTCAGGAATCTGACCTTCCTGATAGGGGATTTATTACAGAATCTGTGGCATTGTTTTGTAGCATTCGTTTACATTTGTGTGATAGTCAATGAAGGTGAAGGCGTGAAGGCCTTCTTCCTTTCACCAGTAGTTACTATTTGTTCCCATGGCGACCGAAGTTCTTTGCTGTCCACTGGTTTAAGTGTCTATTACTGTCTGCTTGTGCAAGTGAGTGCGATTGCAAAACTGGCAAAAATATTAGATAGTGGAAATGTGAAGGGATTTTGGAATTTTCTGATTACAAGTGAAGCAAAACTGCTTTGAAAAATCAAGAAGCAGTCGCTTCGGCAGTGCGCATCTCACGAAATTCAAGAGTTTCAAACCAGCTGATCAGCTGATTTGAACGGATAAGATTTCAAAATCTAGCCAGATGGTTTCGAAGCTTCCAAGTGTAATTTCATGAGATGCGCACTGCAAATGGATGCCGGTCGTCTCTCGTCCTCAGGATGGCCTTAATGATCGAGTCAACTGATCCGTTCTAAGATTCTTGAGTCTAATTCACCGGTGTTAACCAGCACTCAGAGATTCCTTCCAGTGCGTTGCGGTTGTTGGACGCGTCATTCTTGATAGCCCCTGTTTCTACCAGTTCGATCTTTGGATACCATAACTTGTTTGCAATGCTTAATCTTTTCTTTCTTCCGCTCTCCCGAAATTGTGATAAGTGGAGTATCATCCAATGAGCGCAAAGAACTCTAACCTGACCTGACTCGACTTGATCTGACCTTGACCTGAACTGACCTGGCAAAACGAAGTAAGGTTGCCCACTTTTTCAAAGTTCGCTGGAAACGACTTCACCTAAATATAGCTTCATTCTCTTAGTTGAAAACAGCGCTGGACAAAAGGTGCACAGATGTTTATGAAGAAAGTCGCCCAACTGCCTTCTACTGAAACCTTTGAGAAAAAAGTCTAACAAAAGCACCTTAAACTCTCCGACAAATGAACAAGCACACCGGCGGTCATACTTCAGTACTCTCTCCCGTTCGTCTTCCAAGCTCAGACGTTAGAAATTTCCGAGATTTGCCGTTGAAATCACGCATTTAAAAATTTCCACTCCTGCAACGGAATTTCTCCTGGTGTAAATGATATTATATATCTTGATTTTTATACATATTATATGTTTTATACGTATATTTATACCATTTATTATGATTTATTGTTATTTATTTATTATTTATCATTATTTATTATTTGTATCTATATTTATATACATTTTCTATATTTTTTCTGTTCAAACCCTTTTGTCTCTATTTGAGCCTAACACAAAAAGCCCCCTGCTTCTGATTTATCGGTATCTAGAGAAAATTCAGCGTCCATCTGATGTTGCTTATAGGTGCGGGTATATTTTACGGAACGTCTAATCATTTGACTTAATTGATAAATCGCATTCCAGCACCCGAAGTTACATTACTATTCCATTTCGGTACAGTCTTTCTGTTTGCAACTTTGCTTCCTCGTTTTTAAAACGTGATTCTTGGTATTTTCATGGGGGAAACTACTCACAAGGTTGCTGAAAACCTACGACCAGTTTCGTCCTTACCGGGGCTCGTCAGGTAGGCGCAATCACTCAGTTTCCATCAACCTTATGTTCTACTTGAACCCAAATTGCGTCAAATACACTCGTTTTAGACCGATACAGTTTTAAACAACCTTGACAGCTCCATTACGATGTCTAGAATTTCGTACTAACTGAAACGCGGACCAGCCCATGTGTAGTACATTCAACTGCAGAAGTCCGTCACATACCGCAGATTCGGGCGGTATTCAGAAAAGCCTACTGGAGCGCGAATTTACTGACCGGAAGGTCTGTGGTTCGAACCCGAACTCTGCCTCTCGACTTCCCCTCTGTCTAGGCATGGGCGACCTGGCAGTATCTTATCCCTCGTGCTTCTTTCGGGTGGCATGGCAATGAGACACCGAAAGGATGCCACATCTGAACGCTGAACGCACTGTAAAAACCAAATTAGTATGCAAATGAGTGTACTTTTATGTTCACCTTTAGTACGTTTGAGGATGAATATCAGTAAATAAGCATCACTCAGTGTGGAAGAGTGCCAAAGCCTAGAAAAGCCGTGTGTTTTTGGCATCGTGGATTAAATCGACCTTCATAGCTCGATAAAAGTGGCCTACCAAAGCAGCCAACACAAAACGTCTGTTTGTTTGCTGTTATTGATTAGATCTGTTTCACCAGGACAGACATACGTATCCCCTGCCCCCAGTTGGGACCGTAAGCGTTTAGCGTTTTAGCTAGCACGCCATTTGAGATATCGTAGCGCATTTTCTTGACGTAACACATTACCTATAATGGTTTTCAGCAACCTTATGAGTAGTATGCCATGTGTGCAGACAAACTGGTTTTGATGGTTTGAAATCGTGAGCGGTATGCAAATTTTAGCATGTTATAGAAGTTCGGCGCTAGATTTTGAGCCACGCCACTGCACAAAAATGATACGATGGTCAAACATGAAACTTACGTGTAGTTCCTACTGCCAACGCAATTATTGAGCCACTTGCAATGGTGATCGAAGTTGGACACACACTTGTTGCAACATTTACAGTGTTTGGTTCTTGAGCTGGAACTGAAAACGAGAACAATAGGCGTGAAGAGTACACCACTCCATGTCTGGTCGACACATTACATCAGTGTTCTTATCGATTAGTCTCCGCCCTCCACAGGATTCTTATAGGTCACGTTCAAATCACTCGTTTGAGCAGTAGTTCTATTCCTGTCCTGACTCATGCGTTCTAGCCAGTCAGCACCAAAAAGGAAAGCAATAGACTAGAGCTTTCTATTCTTGAAGCTTATCAGCGGTGCATAACCTTAGCTGTGCTGGGGTTTCAACTCGTGAAATGGAAGCATGTGAACTCTCAAGGCTAAACAAGCGAACGTGTTTACGCTAAAGCCTTGTTTGTACGGAGACAGGACAAAGGGACAACTAGTCAGCCGAAGCCAACAGGGAGGCCAATGCACAATTGTTTCGTTGCGGTACTTAATTTTACTAAAACAACTGACAACAAATGAGTGCTGACGAAGAATATTGCTGATATGTTGACCGCACGAATATACAGGTTTGATGCTTCCATGCAACTTTTTATATCATTGATAAGGCTGATGGAACTGGCAATTGTGGCTCAATCACCCAGGCGTTGCCTTCAGCACATAACTACCCTGTTTCTTGAACGAATCGGTCATGTCATCACCCCCAGTGCTTGCCTGTGACTTTCAAAACTCTCCCATTTTCCGGTGACCAAAATTGTAGCAGCTGGAATCTTGATACATGGTCCGTGACTGATGAACTGAGCTGAACAATTTTCAGAACAGAGAGGGACGATTATTTACCTCCTTCCGGGTAAACTTGGCCCAACTACTTTAGCCGATTCAAGTAGTAAGTTGATATGAATCAAAAATCAATAATAAATCGATAAAGTGAAAGAAGACCTCTCCTATATACTGTTCCATTCTCGTGAGTTTGTTTTCAAGCTACTAAGTGGTTGCTCCAAGTGAAACATGGAAAGAAAAACCGACGTTAGGAATCTAATTTCAGGAATATTCTCACCGTCGAACCAATGATAAAGAGAGACTTACATTGGTAGTTCGCACAGATTACAGTAGAAATTCTCAATTACATGTGAATGCGCGGGATCAAGCGTGGGCATTTTCCTTCCCTTTCTATCTTGTTTGACTCGAACTTGTTTCTCTGCCGGATTGATCGTGACCGCAATGATAGTGAATAGTACGTATGACGAAATCAACACGGCGTTGATCTTGTTTGTTTGCATAAAATTAGTCAAGGAAATATGAAATGGGCGCGAAAATCAATGGCTGATTTAACCAGCTGGCTGTTTAAGAAAGTCTCTAGTTCGGAAATCGCGATGGTGGGGATAAAAACCAGTACGCAGTGCATATGAAATCTGTACAATGTAACAAACAGCTGACAGTCGTGAAGATGAAACTTAGGAATTAAAATCAGCAACAAATATGGGGTACCAGTAGAGATAAAACACCAAATTTTAAACTTTCTGGAAGATGCTGAAAGGCAGGTTCAACGATGTCTGTCAGTCGCTCTCAAAGCGATCTCTCAACTTCATAAATTAATTAGCGAAGGTATCGATCAGCTGTTAAGGAACTCCATGGAAAAGACTACATTGAGAGTCGAGTCTTCATAGGCTTTGCTTTTGCAACGTCCTGGACTACGAACTTTTGAAAATCGCTTGGCCAACATGGTGTTCGACGGCGTAGAGGATTTTTCTATTCTAAAATGAACCTTGCCGCTGTTTATCTCCTTCTATGAAGATGAACTCATCTTGGTAGTTGAAAATGGGATTATGTCCGCGACTGCACCTAAAACTCGTCAGTTTAAGTTACTTCTGTGTGTTTTCTGACAGTGGAAAACAACCCGGTGTGCTACGCCGTGGCTAGCGCAAGCATCAGTATCTGTCTGCGCACCAAAATCGTGCAGAGCGTTTTACGCCCTGCGATTTTTTCTTCGTCAACACCGTTTACATGGCCAAAGTATAGCGCGTGTTCACTGACCATGAGGTCCATGGTTCGAACCCGACCTCTGCCTCTCGAATTCCCCAGTCTGTGCTTCGTTAACCTGGCAGTATCTCAGCCCTTGTTGTTCCTTTGGGTGGCATGGCAGTTAGGCACCAAAAGGACACTACAGCTGAACGATATATATGCTTAGGCGAGATGTATTCATACTTAAACCACATGTAAACCTGGTTGATTAGTGTTCTACGTGCGGTCAAAACTTCTGACAAACATTTTCGAAACATTCAAAGTTGTTCTAGAGGCTCCAAACACGGAAACTCCAAATTCATGTGACAGCCAGAGATGAATAAAAATTTGTGGACTAATGTCCTCTAATATCATTTGAAAGTTCTCAACATGAAATCAAACACATCCCAAGGAAAAGCGTGATGATTTAAATAGGGATTTTCTTTTTAGGGCGACACTGAAGGGCCGCGAATCATCAGCAGTATGCACCTTAAGAAACTCCCAAAGGGTTTTGAACCCACAATCTTCAAGGTAGCGGGTGAACACTTAACAATTTGACCAACAGTGGCCCGTGCTACTCTCACAGCTCCCATCTCTAATACGCAGCTACCTACCCTACCTTCCCGAATCATCGGTGAACAAAACTGTGGCAGCTGAAACCACCTTACGACAAGTACGTATGAAAATTTCTAAAAATGCGTTTCTCCATGATTCCTAAAATAATACCGAATCTCCCACGGACCCAAAAAATTTTGTTGGAGGCCGCAAAATATAGACCAAGGGGTTGAAGCTGTGAAAACTGTGTTGGTTACACCCACTTGGCTACGTACCTCGTATGTCATTTGACCAAATTCTTCAAAAGGATCTTTCCGTAAAACCACGGGAAGGGTATAAATGAGCCAGGAGAGGCCAAAGAATGGCTTGGCATTGAAGTACAAAAGCCATTGCCAGCAGACCTAGTTGCGCTAGTCATTGCCATCCTCTTTATGGAGACTTCAAAATGGGACATACCAGTGGTTAGAGACATTGTTAGACATGACCCAGTCGCAACCTCAACGGCACTTTTGGATCCAAGTTATTGCCTTTAATGCTTAGCTACTCTCCCAATCCCAATACTCAAACATGTACTGATAACTTTGTGTTTACACATCAATTGTACCAGCTGACGCCTCCAATGTTCAGCTGTCTATCTCATCTCCCTAAATCATCGGTTAACGAAACTGTAGCAACCAGAACCATTGTGTGGCATGTACGCGGTTCTTACAGCTGATGATGATTATTAAGATGATTATTAAGATGATGATGATGATTCGGACGATGATGATGAACTATGTTAGGCTACAGACGGACCAGTTGAATTAAGGTAAGTCCTTGTCAGCCAAAACACCAAATAATAGCTTCTGATCCACCAACGAAAACTGGGAGCACGAGTTGATAGTTTTCTGTGCATACTTAACTTATGAGCTGATGTACCTGGACTACATGCACTTCTTCAGTTTTTTCACCCTTCAAGCTCACGCAAAATGACGGTCCAAAGGGAGGAAAAATGCTCCAGGTTGTGAAAGCCCACGTAAAAGTAGTTGGAAATCCGCTAGTATTTTTATCCACGGAGCATCTAATTGGAGCTCAGAAGAAATATCAAAGAGATGCACTTGGATCTTTTGCATTTGGGTGCAAAAGCTGAGGCTGGCTGGGTAGTTGACCACTGCTGAAAAAAATGATGAAACTATCAGCAGATGCAAACTAACTGAAGTTAAATATGTGGCTGGTAAAACTAAACCGATCTGTTTGAACTATTCTCGTTTCCCACCGAAATTTCGTTACCGGTTTTCATTTCCGCCCAAAAATAATGGTTTTATAACTGAACCAGTTTTGTGTTCTGTCCGAATATCTGGTCCTTATCGCTCTTTGATTGAGTTATCAACGCTGCATCAAAAATGATCACCAACAGTGAAAACCCCATCCATCTTATATTCATCTTATATTGTCGGAAAATTTGAGGGCCTGCAAAGAAAAAACGCACTCAGACATTTGAACAACTAGTCATCCTTGGTAGAATAGTAGTTATAATGTAGGCTTCCTTGAAGGCAAACAGACTTCTAAAATCCTCGGCCGTCCTCTCAAACGGTGAAGAAACCTGAGGCTACGTATCTCGTCGATTGGCAAAACTCCACACAGCTAATTAAATTTGTGAGAATTGATAACAAGCTCATATTGGTTTTGTCTTGCACGTTGCAACCGTGTACTTATCCAACGTGAGCTGATCAAATCCGTCTGTTTGTAGGTAAGCCAAAGAGACTGAGTTTGTAGTTCATAACTCAAACTGGCGGTGAACGAAAGCACATGCTCACTTTTCGCAAAATATGCCGCATACTATTATTATCTAGTTGTTTACAGTGTGGTTTCCTGGCGATGCTTGTCACGTCTCTTACGGTAACAAGAAAATAAATAATAAAAACGCGTAGATGGCTAAATACATCAATCGTCAGACAGGTAGTCTATTCGGCTTCGTGTGATAGATGACTTTTATTTTTATTCAACTCTAGCCACTATCTCAACATTCGTTGTATGTCATTAATGCCTAATTGCTCGTGAAGACGCGGAGGCCGTTATCATTTTTCAAAGACATGTAACACAATGGCACTTCAAGATCAATACTCAGTCAAAAGCCCGGCAGACGTGTTTTAGGCTGACGCCAAGGTGTTACTGCTACTAATATATCACTTGTTAGCCATGAATCGACGAAGCTTTCTTGACCGGTATAACTTGATTCGATCAGTCTTAGTCTTCTAATGGTTTTGCCCAGCTTAATTTTTGGCCGGGATACGCAAGACTTCAGCAGCCAACATCGTATACACCAGAACATACTAAACCGTGACCACCCATAGTGTTTTACCAGAATTTATTTCGCCCTTGAAAACAATGAACTGCTTGAGTGTTTTACTAAAAACGAGGTTCACCGTTGAGTCCGTGAACGGCGCGATTTCTTAGATTGGTCCTATTGTGTTTGCGCCGGTGACGGTGCAAATGACACCTCTTTGCGCTAGGTTGTCAGAGAAGAAATCCGTATACTTTACGCAGATTCAGCCCAAAATATAGTATATAAAAAAGTCTCAAGTTGAGTAGCTGCCTTGTCGCTGGCTGTCATTAAGTGGACAGTAAAATCAGTAGTGTCGCAGCACACTAGTCTCATTTCTTTTTCAAACCTCAAAGCTAGTGAGATGCTTCATAGATTCTCACTAAGCAGGCTATAGAACCCTAACTCATAATGTGATAGACATACAGTAAAAATGTTATTAGAATCTGGTGATTCAGGGCCGAATATTAAGCTATTAATGCACTTCTGGATGGTGGCTAATAAATTATTCTGATCCTTATGACATGTTTTATCGTTCTGTTCTGAAGCAGCTATTTTCATATGTAATTTATGCAAGCTTTTAAACTGTTAGCACTGATGGGAAATGGATTTCTACCAGCCATTCCGGGTGAGGAAGCCAAGAAGGCCGGCGATTAATATTCCACTCTCTTGAGTATTAGTGCAATAGCCTAAGGACGTCATTTTATCCGATAGAAAAGAAGCCAGAACGCCTATAGTGTTGCCAAAGCTTCGCATACAGGATTTCAACAGGAAAAAAAGATTTTTAAATTTTCTCCAAGAGCCGCTTGTGTTTTCATCACGAAGTGTTCCATAATCAGGCGCTGTCTATCCCTACCTTCCTGTTGCGGCTGCTGCAGCTGATTTGAGTATGACATGAACGATGCATCCTTCACCATTGGATTTTATGCTCAGTGTGCATTTCTGGGTTTGTTCGGCGCTAGAGTTTACACCGCTATTATCGAGTGCCACGGGGAATATTCATAGTGAGTGTGTCTCATAGGAGATCCTTCTTCTCCTTGCAAATAGCCGTCTAGAAGCTTTTTTGGTAAAATCTGCGGGGTTGTTTCGGGTTTAGGAGCATCAAACAACCCAACTGATCGGGTCCAAACAACCAACTTTCTGGTACAGTAGCTCAAACACTGAGGTAAGGATGTACACATTCACTGATCTTAAAGTGGATTAGTTGGATTTCGGTACCGCATGCAGACTGATCCCTAAAATTTTTGTCGGTTCATTCGCCCATCTAATGTTTTCCTCTCTGGTTATGGGACGAAGCCACACCGAAATTTGCACCCGACTCAGTGTAGAGTAGTCCATAAGAACAGCATAAATTTGAACAATTTCCCCAGTTTTTCATACAAAAGAATAAATTCCAAGGATCCGACAAAGGATACGATAATCAAGTACACCTGGAGATCAGAAATTGCAGCTGGTACGAATAATACATAATATGCTAAGGAAAATAGGACTGCCGCAAGCCAAGAAAGACATTGAAGAGGATGTAATGGCAAGGTCCATCCATTAACCCTGCTGTACTGACTTGGACCTGACATAATTTCAACTGGATTAGCTCCCAGGCTTGATGTATTCGATCATAGTTACAAAAGTTACTGTTTCAATCTGCGCGCTCTGTTGGCATCAATTTTCACAAAAATAATTGATAGATTTTAACTCTAGCGGGCCGGTCTCACCGGTTTCCAGAAGAAGAGTAAGATTTACTTTTGGATTATGATACCATGAGATCTTCCGACAGGTTTTTAGTGATAGCAGTGGATTCTGGACGCTGTGAGCTTAATAAGAATGCGAAGGCTGAAGCACAGGGTTGTCTTGTTCTCGCTGCTGGAAGGCTGTTTTCTATGAATAAGAACAAGGCACAAGTAATCGACGTAACTTTTTATGTACGCAAGCTCAAGGGAACCAGACAGTTTACGTCTTAAAAATGGAATGTGTGCATTGCCAAACATGAACATCTTCTATCCCCCCATGGCGTTCTACACTTATGTAGTGTCTGTAATCCAAGGGAACCAACAGTTTACGTCTTAAAAATGGAATGTGTGCATTGCCAAACATGAACATCTTCTATCCCCCCATGGCGTTCTACACTTATTGAATGTCTGTAATCGGTTGTCACATTTACCATTCTTCCTGAACTTGAACCACACTTTGTAACTGTCGTTCACATTGCATCATGACGTTTGTTTTAATGTTACGAATACAATTTTTCTTGGCGCGACTTCCCTGCTTTTCGCTGAGTCAGTGAAATTGCATCCGATTGAGCTGATTGCTGTTTGCTGAAGTCGTGAGATTGGATTATTGTGTTTGTGTGGACTGTCGAACGTCACAATAACTCCTTGTGACAATTTTCAGCTGTGATAACTGTCTACCGTGGAATTTACCTCTAAAACTCGAACTATCAGTGGAGAATATCCTTCTTACTCTGGATATATTCTTCACCGCCGAATACAATTACTGCACAACATTTCGTGTAGTGGAATTATTGGACCTCCAAGTTAGTGAGTCTATTCCGTTCACTTGTCCATTTCTTATTGCCATTTGTTATTTCTAAGCTGGTATTTTGGTTGTATATTCTATCGAGCACGCATACATAGGTCCTTGTCCACTACATAATTGGTGAGCCCTATTTCTATTGTCATTTTCCCTGCA